TAAACGATTGGAAAAATAAAAGAAACAACGACATAGGAAAAGGCACATTAGATACTGCTCTTAAAGCCCCAATAAGCCAATCTTTCCTCTGCTGCAATTTACAGGTAGCTGCTCAGCCACATCAGTGTGATATGCAGAAGATAGTGTCAACAGCAATTTGCATTTTACCATATTCAGGATCGGTTAAAATGCTTGACCTTGAACACTCTGATACATTAGTAATGGTTCCCAAAATAAAATTGAACAACTCAAGTATAAATTTAAACATTCCCTCGAGCTATATCCATGAGATACCATTCAGTTCCAATTTACATCACAGTATGCCCATCACTAACCAAAGCATTTGGTAAATAGAATTCAAAATCCAAAGCAAACTGGGTAAAAATGAGCTTGCGGATCCTCATCAGATACTATTCAGTTCCAATTTACATCACAGTATGCCCATCACTAACCATGGAAAAGCTGTCATCTATCCAATTTATAGATCCTGTACCTTGAACACTCTGAGTATAATGTTTTATTGGCTGGCTTGATTGTCATTGTTTTGCTATTCTTGAATAGCATTGGTCCAGATGAGGGAAATCCCCCAACCTCCCTGTATTTAGATCTTACTAAAAGGAGCACAAAGAATATCAGAATGTGTTATCATTCCAAAGTGAATGGTGTAAGAAGAACAAGATTTACAACACACAACAGTATAGCACATAATACCACCAATGTTTCGCTTCTCTTTCCCGATCATTTGAATAACTTCATTGCAGCTTTGCAGCTCCTTTGATGAAATAAACCAATTTGCTGATTACCGCAGGCAAAAATTAAAAAATCCACTCTTCTCTGATGCAACCTGCAGTCAGGAGTGACAGTACTGTGATGAATCATCATGAGTGTTAAAAGTTTATAAGGTAAGGTGCCCAATTCAGATTTCCTGGCCAAGCAGGTGAATCGTGTACTTTGTATGGCTAGCAAAGATCGTAAAGCTAAAAGGAAAAAGGAGAGGTCAAGGGGCTAATATCATGAGAAGATCGTTATTACCCTTTCAAGTACCGTTTCGAGGAACTGGACTAGTGAAGATGCACAAGACCAACTAGTCTTCTTTCAATCTTTCGCGGAGTGATTCCTTGTCAGACTCAGAGCTACCAATTGTACTTGGTTCTGCCTCATCAGAATGTTCGCGTGTTCGCTTAACGACGGCGCCTTCTGCATCTGATGATTTTTCAAAATAACAACAAGGGACATCCATTGCGTTGTAAAGAGAAATGCTGCTGTTAGATTGGTTCATTTTTCGGTTGAGCTCTTCCACATCTTCTCCATATACCAGATGAATGCCATACTTCTTCAGCTTCAAGCACGTGTTGTTTCGCACACTACAAAAGGGTTTGAATAAAACCTCAACCTGACTGCAGTTATCCTTCAAAAAGTTCTCACAGCGATGGTACTTACGAGAAACATAGAGTAACCAAAGGTGATCTGATGCAACATGGCCAACACTATGATACACCTCATCAGGTATAGGAAAAGAAAGTTGATATGATCCAGCTATTTCCAAATAACATAAAATTCCACATGGATGGCGTCCAAAATAATCAAATTCAAGAAGGGCAGCTGGATTTTCTTGAGCTCCAAAAACAGCACATAAAACAAACCCCATCCACTTGCTATTACATAAATGTGGAGGCCGCTCCACCATTAGTGAATCTCCCACACGTTGATTACTGAACCAATCAGGAATTTCACTTCCAGGAATGACAATGTTGAATTTGAGAACAGAATGACGGACTCCCTGTACCACAAACCATTATATCAACTCAAAAAACTAGATTGATTCAATGGATGGGGAGAGAGAGAGAGAGAGAGAGAGAACCTGACGGAATTTCTGTAGCATTAAAAATGCTATGTTATTGCAGCCTTCATTGTTTTCAACCAATCTGAAGCCATTGACAGCTCTGAAAAAGTAATTATATAAACTGCTCAACATGGGTGGATCTGGCAATATTTTTAACGAAGTACAATCATCTGCTTTTACATGTAAAGTCCTATTTGATGGAAGGTCTGGCAACTGCTGAAGACTTTTGCAGCTTTCCAAGTTTAACTCCCAAAGCTTAAAGAGACATCTAAGGCTTGCAGGCAAGCTAACAAAATTGTTTCCACTTAAACTTAATTCTTCTAAGGAGGACATGCATCCAATATCATCAGGGATTCCTCCTTCACAAAGATTGCAGTCACTTAGATCTAATTTCTTCAAAGAGCAGAAACGTTTTAAAGAAGCCAACACCAAAGAACTCTTTCCTGCAAAAAATTCAAAAGGGAGGAACGAATGCCATGATTTAGGCGGTTGCCCTTTACATCCACGAAAGGATAACACTTTGAGACTTTCATCAGAGCAAGGGAGGATGGTGGCTCTCCAATAGCAGTTCCACTCAGATCAAGTGCCTCCAAACACTCAATTTCCAAGTAATGAGCATCCAGACATGTTGAGGTTTTGAAGAGACTTCAAACCACAGATGACACTGGGAAGGCATATGAGACTTTTACAATCTCTAAGATCCAGTGAAATAAGGCCAATAAGACGTTCAATTGATGAAGGTATTTTCTTAATACTAGTCCCATCTAAAGAAAGCTTTGATAATTTTTTCATCTGTCCCACAAATTCTGGAATCCTTTTTACTTTTGAGCAACCAGAAAGGATAGGAACTTTGAGAGATTCCATTTCTACCTCACTTGGAAGACTTTTAAGACTTTCACAATTTTTAAATTCAAAATTTTAAGCCGTTTCAGAACTGAAATGGATGAATGAATCTCAACTAAACTTGTACAACCTTCAAGCACCAACCTCTCAAGATTTTGAATACCAGTGAAATCTGGGGTCTTGGTCAAGCTTTGGGAGAAACTAAGATCGATATATTTCAACTTTCCCAAGTACTGTACAAAACATAAAATTATAGAATGGTTAGCTTCCTCAGACGCTACAATTCTTTTGCAAAACAAAAAAGAAAGAAAACTGTGCAATGGCATATAGTCAAGAACATTACCTTTGATCCATTCCAAAGATGATTAATTTTGCTATGACGCAAATTAAGTTCAGAAATTTCATCCGGCTGAAAAGTTGGTGGGAGATATTTTGAAGGATACCAACTCCAGTCAATAAATTTTAAGGCATTAGAAAGATACTTGGGTCCTTGAGAAAGGCTCAAATTATGAATTTGAAGCAACCTTAGCTTAGACATCTTAGAGAAGGCTTCTGGATTCCAATGTGCCTCTTCCAATTCAGGCAAGTGTAAGACTATCCCGTCAATTGCCTTTGTTCCCTTATAATTTACAACGAAGGTTAAGTTAATTCCATAATCAAGGATCATACTATCTCAAAACAAAAACAAAAATTACAGTGCTAGCCAAACCTAGCATTTCTGCATAAATCCTTACTCTATTCTTCGAAAATACATTTAGGATGTCGTCCCGATGCCATAATAGACTACGTCGACCAGGTTCTTCATAAGACTCTTGACGAACAATTTCACGTCCCATTTCCTGTATCAAATCATGCATCCACACATGGTTGTCTGAAATAGTTAAAAGAGATTTCTCAACAAGAACATCTACTGTAATACGAGGGCAAAAGCCATAACTCTCTAGTACTTCAATTGTTCGCTCCTTGTTATATCCCTTAAGGAAACATGCAACATCGAGAAAAATTCTTTTCTCTATCTCATCTAGTCCATCATAACTCATTTTGAGTGTTCCAAAAATTGTTCTGTTAGGAGCTTTCTTTAGCTTATCCAATGCACTAGTCCATGCATCCCGGCTTCTTTTATACAAAAAGGATCCCAAGGTTGTAAGAGCTAATGGATGGCCTCCAGCATATTCCATGAAGCACTTGGACAGTTCCAAATAATCTTCTTCAGGATGGTCTTTTTAAAAGGCGTTCCAGCTAAAGAGCTGCAGGGCTTCAACTTCATTGAATCCCTCAAGCTCATATGATTTTTCTACACCATGTGTGACCAGCAAATGTTGATCCCTAGTTGTAATGATGATTCTGCTCCCCAAACCAAACCAGTGTTTCTCCCCAAGTAATATTTGGAGTTGGTTTAATTCG